ACATACTCTCGAAACCCGAAGAAATAGAATTAGAGTTAGTCGCCTTTTTTAGTAAAATGTTAGGTGAACAAAAATCTCCGAACAGACAAGCAATGAAGGAAGTGCTAGCAGTTATGCCCAAGGTACCGGAGAAACCGGCGGAGTGCCTTAACGGGCCCATCAGCGAGGCGGAGGTACAATGTGCAATTAAGGATCTGGCACCAAGGAAGTCACCCGGGGTTGATGGGCTCGGCGCAGCTTTCTACAAAATGTTTTCATCGGAACTAGTGCCAGTTTTGACGAAAGTGTATGCGGATATATATAATCGAAACCTCCTTCCAACTTCAATGCGACAGGCAACAACGGTACTAATTCCAAAGCGGAAAAGCGATGGGTCAATCAGAAGTAGCGAAGACTTTCGACCAATAAGCCTTCTGACAACGGATTATAAGATCCTAGCAAAAATCATATCAAAACGCCTCGAAGTTGCATTCCATACCATTGTTGGAAATCATCAAACGTATGGTTTCAAAAATAGATCGATATTTACTAATCTGCATACAATGAGGATTATAGCAGAAACGGCAGAAGCGATGGGACGTCCTACGGCTGTCCTACAAATAGATTTAAAAAAAGCGTTTGACAAAGTGTGTCACTCCTTCTTATTTTCATTATTAGATCACTGTGGAACCGGACAATTTCTGGTCAATTTCATCAAAATATGTTACAGGGACATAAGCACACGGATCCTTATCAATGGACGCAAGTCACGGTCCATTCCAGTGAAGTCGTCGGTACGCCAAGGATGCCCAATGTCGCCCATACTTTTTGCTATCTATCTAGAACCGATGTGTAAAGCAATCTTGAATGACCTCATCATAGAAGGCGCAAGCCTGGGTGCAACGTCAGCACGGTTGCTGGCTTACGCGGATGACGTCACCCTAATTGGTCAAAATCAGAAAGATATAGTGCGGGCCGTAGAACTTGTAAGGCAGTTTAGCGACGTTTCTGGAGCTGAAATTAACCCCCAAAAGTCTGTTGGAGCCTGGCTGGGGCCGTGGGCATCCAAGCCGAAACAATTCTTGGGCATCATGTGGTCCACATCCATTTCCAACTATCTTGGGGTTGGGCTGGGCACAGAGCAGCTAAGGACCGGACTGGATGGCATTCACCTGAGCACACTGAGGGCCAAACTTCCAGAATGGCAGGGCAGATACGTGCCGCTACTGAACAAAGCGGTTACTAGTAATACAGTATTTTTTTCCACTGTCTGGTATTCGGCGCAAGCTGTTCCATATAGGCAACTCGACGTGCAAAAAGTGCATCGGTTTTGTGCAACGTTTGTGTGGGGCTCTGGGTTTGAAAGAATGCACAGAAACAATCTCTTTATCAGCAAGCAGAAGGGAGGGCTGGGACTTGCAAACCTAGACATAAAATTGAAAGTGCAACGTTTCCTTGTCTTCCGAAACCGAGCAACCAGCCCGGTGTTGATGGCGGCGTTAAAGGAGCTCGGTGGACCATATCTGGCTCCATGGACTAAAGAGACCATTGGCACTCCAGAAAGGACCTCGATCCCACGATACTATAGAGAAATTAGAGATGCGATTCGTTTTTTTGAAGAACGTTTTTCGTGGGAATACCTAAACAGCGTCAAACGCAGACGTCTTTATTGGGACACTCAAGACCTGGTAATGCCGCCTCCAATGTATCGCCAAATGTTTCCTGGTTGCGAAAAGTCGGACGTGTTCAAGCGTCTGAGTCTATACCCAGTTCGGCCAGGGATAAAGGATTTGTTTGTGCGCTTTCATACCGAAGTTTTAGCGGTCAAGACCTGGGAGGAACAAAAAGGTTTTTTTCTGCCCTGGGGAGTCAATTGTGTCATTTGCCCTGTTCCCGAAACACTGCAACATACATTCATGTATTGTACTAATGCAGAACTATTTTGGGCTCAGCTCCGCGCGGAGCTTCGGATCGATCTATACCCAACCTGGTACAGCATGAAGTTTCTAGACACACCGGAAAAGCAACAAAGCAGATGTTACGAGCTCCTGACCCTGATCGGTTTGCATGCGATATGGAACTAGCGTACTGATCACACCTTGGTACGAGAACGAGGGAAGTGTGCGTGGCGCCACTTCTTAGAGGGATTTCACTACACGTCATCCATCATAAAAGAAACTTCGTTCAAGGAGACGGAACACTGGGAGAGGTTCAGGACCCTTTTAAAGCTATAAGGTCCCGAACGTATTGCACTCTTTGGAAAGGTGTGGCTACGCAGACCAACGCAACAAACAGCGTCACGCTGAAAATGTGCGCACAATTGTGAGAGGTGTGTCAGAAGTGCTGACCTTTTAGGTTGTGAATAGCAAAATGTTTTTAAACAAATAAAAGCCAAGCTGGCAAAAAAAGTGTGCTGTTGTATTGATGTTTGTATGTGCGATGCCTGTGTATGCGTTCAATATGTGTTGACCTGATGCTTGTAGTGTGCGCAACGTGTCTACATGTGTTAGAGATTCCCGAAAAAATGGAAACGCAATTGTGACGTAAGGAAATAAAAATATTTTTTTTGTAAAACATGAATTGGGCGGTACCTAGCGCCACCTAGCCTAGCTACTTGCGATTACTCTGCTTGACCCTGCCATCTGGTGGCAAACAATTTAACATCCTTTGTCGCTACGCGGCTACGCCATTATTTCGTGTTACCGTGCTGAGGTAAGCCAAAAGGTTGCTTCGGATTTGCTTTTTTCTTTTTTTTTTTTTGAGAGCGGCTTTTGGTTTTGCGGGCGAATGATTTTTACTCCTCCGTGATGTGCGGTTGACGCAACGGTTGACGAAGGAATTGTGGCTCGAGGAATAGCAGAGGTAAGACATAAAGTGCGCGAACTGGGTGCCGGTTGTCTCCGTTGAACGTCGCAGTGCTGACGATGAGAAGACTGAGTGACTGCATGCTTTCGAAACGTAAGTTTCCTGCAGGGGTAAAGAAACTTCGGAAATAAATACAGTTCGTGGAAAGCTCGTGTTACGTTTTTATTTGCTACTCCTCTCGCTTCGTACAATAGATTTAGTGTTCTCGTTAAGCCTTATCGAGCTCGATTTGCTCGATTCGTGGCCGCCGTAATGAGATGCAGTCGACGGAGGAACTTTTGCTTCCCTGCTTAAGGGACGAAAGTTTCTCCCTTTCTGAAGAAACATATGTGTCAAGAGCGTTCCTCCCTTTAGGGAGGACTATACTGACCCTTTTTTCTAAGAGTGTGGGCGACTCGGAGGCACTTCAGACGACAGTAAGAGATACAGCCTGCCGGCAAAACGCGGTTCATTTCCGTCACACTCATTCTGTCAAGCATGGCAAGCAGTCGTCTGCCTTCAGTACCTAGTATCTGGTTCACTGGCGGGGACAATGCTTTTTTCGACGTTTGGATGGTATGCGGATATATATACAAAGTAAGAGAGAGGCATGAATTGAGAAAAAAAGCACACACGCACTATCCATAGAAATAACGAAGGTGCAGGCTACTTGAACTACTTTCAACGTTTTGAACAGCCGAAACTGGGAACGAAAAGTGAAGAACGCACACATAGGTCTCACGGCCGCATTCTTCAACGCTACTTGAATTCGATATCACCTTCACTCAGTCGAGTGGGAAAGAAAAACACCCTCGGTCAACAGAAATATTGGTTCACGTACGCCCTTCAGTGATTCCTCCAATGAGCAATGAACCTTGCAAATCCGAAGCGATCTTAACTGCGTAGTGCCGTGCAAAGCATCTTGGGTACCCCTTGGCCAGAGTTTCGGTTTCAATTTTCTAAAATCAGTTGACCACATCACGTCACTACCAAATACAGTAAATTTATTTTAAAATATGTTATTTTAATTAGATATAAAATACTGGAAGTGTTGCCTACCAATTCAATTAAAATTCTGGGGCACGAGTTTTTGCTTTCTTGGGCTCCCGATGTGCCATAGTTCGTGCGCATGTAATGAAGATTACGATAGCATATGGAAGAGGAGGTATACTGGACTGGTCATCCTGTTCCATTGGTTCCTCAATTTTCTAGGGTCCTTAAATTTTCATGGGGCCAACAGGGTCATGCTGCGATTTGGAGTGGTTGCCAGGCCACCAGAATTGTATGTGACGCTGTCAGCCGTAGGGCTACTCCTTGTTAATCCTAGTCACGTCATTACGGCCTGCTGGAGATCCGTGTTTCAACAAAAACTCTGCATGGAAGCCATGCAAAAAACAATCATAGAAAGTGTTTTTTTTATGTGGCTAATGTCAGAATTTAGAGCGTCTGCATTCTATAACCACCGGTACTGCCACATTCACACAGAGTTTGCGCTTTCAAAGACGCGTAATTTTTATAGAGATTGAAGAACAAGGTTTCATTTGACTGATCAAACTCTGTAAAAAAGCAAGGTCTCACAATACGCACAAAACGAAGTACCCTGGCCCCGTCCTACCTCTAAGTTTCGGTGTCTATCTGCATCAATAATGATGTCACTATTCACCAAAAGCGAGAACACACACGAAAAAAACACACACAAAAAACAGGCGTGCTCTGAAACACAATATCGGAATAGAAGCATAATGGACCTTTTCCGAGAAGCGTTCTACGCATGCGCGAGCGCCCGATACCAAGCGGTGGAAGTAGGCACGAAAAATCGAGGAAATTCGTAATGAGGCTGTAGATCGACGAGTAGAGCACGCAATTGCAGCATAGATATAATTGTGTTACACAAAAAAAAAGAAAGTGGACGGAAAGAAAATCACGACGTTTGGGTGGACGCCACGGATTCCCCTCTTTAAAGTCGCGTTGGGCACGCGACGCAGCTCAGAGAGCGAAGAAACTGATAGCGTAGCTCCCACTATCGATTGGTAGTGCAGGTAGGTCACTTCCTCGATTTTTAGTTCGTGCAGTCACCGCCTGGTGCCGTCGATATTTGGAAAAGGTCCATTGGGCAAATTGGTTTGGATCGTCAATTATCTGTTAGTCAGATGCATCCTAGCTCGCCGCTTGCTTGCCTGGTATCGCTTCTGGTTGACGAGTACGGCGAGCCCGATGCGGATGGCCACGCTGAACCACATTCGGTACACAAGATTTGGGGGCTCCGGGTGCCGCTCCACCAGAGACGTCAGCTCGTCCATCGGGATGCTGCACATCTAGAGCAGGTTGTTGGCGCTTAGAAGAAGATTTAATAAGCGAAAACATTTTAAAATGCTTTAGATAGCCCGTGTGTGTCACCAGAAACAAAGTCCCCGATAATACAAAAAAAAATAGCGATATTTTTTTTTTTTTTAATTCGCGTGATTCATTTTGATTTAGCGTCCATTCCGAAACAGGCTTTTTTTTTTTTTAGAGGTCATGTTCGAACTACAAACATTTTCTGGAATTGTCCCTGAAGGGGTCGTAGAACAATATTAGATACTGTAAAACCCTTTATTTTCGCGGCCCCCATTTTTCGCGAATCGGTCACAGATGACATAATCGCGACCACTAAATTTCGCGAATTCCAGACGCCTGCTTTGAAAATCTTAAGGACCGAAATTTTCGCGCGCCCTTAAATTTCGCGAATTCTTCAATTCGTGAAATTTGCTTAAATTGAGGGCTCGCGAATATTAAGGGTTTTACAGTAATTACTTTTCACGCGTTGAACAAGCCTAGTGGCTCTGATACACTCACAGGCAACGTCACTGACCAAAAAACGCACTTATCACCGTGCAATCTCAAGGATAAAAGTGGTTCTTCGTTAGTCTTTCCATCGCAAAAGTTGATGACAACATTGTGGCGATCGCATTGTTGGCATAGTCAAAGTGCAATTCTCAGTGTTTCGATATCAAGCAATGTTATCTCTGCGGTGATAATATTTTAATGCGGCCCATACAGTAGGCACGAGTACAGCATGAACATTTGATTTGGGCTCGTGAGAATTGAAGTCACTATATCCTGGGAAAGTAGCGTCAAGCTCCCCGATTGGTTACCATCTTGGTTCATGGAATTAGCAGTTTCTCCTTGACCGAATAATACTTGGTCAGCCTATCCAAATTTCCAGGATAGGTTACTTTATGAAGACCTTTCTTGATTACCAGATTTCGTGATTCACACATCGGCAGAGAAAATTTACATCTTAGTACTTTCACCACATGTGGCGTCGGCGCTTGGTGCATTGAAAAGCAGTTTTTCTGTCCTGAAATATGCGAGAACAACACTAGCATTCTAAGGGATCTCTGTGGATAAGCATGGTTAATCAGTTTATTGCATGCGGAGTGCTGGAGAAGGTATTCATTGGATGCCATATTTGAAGGCGATGTTAAGAAGGCATGCTCAGAATAAGCTCATATTAATATACTGCAAAGACCTGCAATGTTGATGGTGAAAGTGCAAGTTGCAAAGGAAACGTCAAAGCCTGCCGTCAGAAAGCGCTCAGCAGTAGCGCACACAGCAGTAATCTCCAGCCAATACTGCCTACGCTGGAGAGGTATGCGTTTTAGTACAAACATCACGGTCGTTCCGATCGACCTAGCCCGTACGCCAAGCGCCGAGGGCCGGGAATCTTCCGTTCGAGCGGTCACACTCTGTACGAGAAAAACAGTTCGGGAAGAACATTCGTTTCTTGCATCACTTTGCATGATAATATTCGCAACATCACGCGTACCCTATTTTCAACCATGAACAGCTACTACAATTAACCCTTACGCTCTTACTAGAATTGTTTCTCGCTAGCACCGCTAGGGGACAGTTTTCGGCTGCTGGTTGGCCAAGAGATTATGCCAAGCCCTCTATCTGCATCTGGTGCACTGCCTGGCTCTGCCCCCGCTTTATATTGACCAACCTCTTTCTATAGACAACTCTGATCGGATCCTGGGAGAGTAGCGCCAAGCTCCCTGTATTGTCGCTAATTTGGTTCATGAAATTATCACTTTCTCCTTGACATCTCCACTCTTGGTGAGCCAATATATTCTTGAATATTGCGATTTTATTCTTCCACCGGCTAAACAAGACCGCGTCTGCGCACCGCCACAACATGCGGCGCAGTTGCTCGGTCGCATTCAAAAACAATTGTTCGTTCTTTAAACGACGCAGGAACAACAATCCCATTGTAAAACATCTGTGGATATCGGCAGGATTTACAAGTGCATTGCATGCACAGCGCCAAAGACGCTTTTATTGGCTGGGAGCTCTCAGTACGACGATTCTTCATAGTGACCTTGGTGTGACTGATTCAGGAAAAAACCCTCCCGTAGCTTTGAAGATTTGTATGCAGCGAAATGGCGATTGCCATGGCAAGTGATACCGATGAGCCAATCGCCATATGAGGTTTGGTCGTCTGTGTGTGAGTATTTGTCTGTGTCGGGAAAGCAGGCAGGGAAGACAATGGCGCTATTTTCCGAGGATCCAGTGTCTTTAGGCGCGACTGGTTCAGAACGAACCTTTTGAAGCTTCTTGAAGTTTAATGGACCTAAATGGCGATTACCATAGCAGCTAAAACCGATCAGCCAATAACCCTGCTTTGTTTGGTCGTCTGTAGGTTAGTATCGGCTTTTGTCTGGCTTGCAAAATTTCGCATTTTTTTTCTGGTTTCTTTTTCGACAATCAATGCCTGGACATGCTCGGATAGGGGCTCCTGTCCAATCGCTGCAGTGATAGGGATATCCAAAACTTAAAGTGGCGATAAACAGCTTTCGCCCTTTCAGTAAATATCGCTAACAATTAACTCTTGGCATTGACGACCAGTAAGCTACGCTTTTTTGTTTTTCATTTTTGCGCGCATTGGTGTTCACAGACAAAAATATCGAGAAAAACGAGCAGTGTTTACCATCTCGACTCGCAGCCAGACCACGTGATTCGGCAACAATTAAATGCCGCCGTAATTTAACGCAGCGAGGCGCTGTGGTTGGCAAAGGACAGGGCACACGCTGAGTTCCACGTATTGTTAGAAGGTTCGGCTATTCCCGACGTTGCAGCGATTTGGCACAAGCCTTTGCCCGAATGCTTTTCCAGGCGTTGTCACCGGTTTAAATCGAATCCAGCTCCACGCATCGTCTATTGCATCAGCCGCTTTGAAATACTTTTATAGCTTTGATCGCAAAGATTGATGGTGAAATCCCGGGGCTCGCATTATTGACGTTGTGCCCAAATTGGCAATCAAGCCTCTTTGAAGGAGAGACTGAAGAAAACGCACGTTTTTATCCATCGAATGCTACCGCGACAAAGGTGATTTTCGGTCAGTGGCCTTGTGTTCAGTATTCTTGGGTCTCACTAATGCCATTATGCTTGTGTAAAGTGAAAAAAAAAAAACTTTCCTAGCCAATGTCATTGCTCGGTCTCTTTAGCAATATGTGGAACGCAGCGTGTGCCTTTTTTTTTTTTGCCAACCCCGGCACGTGATTATAATAAAAAAAAGACGCGGCATATGATCGGCGTCAGATAATGTGGCATGTTGTTTTGGTTGAGATTTGAGCGAGTGAACCTGCTTGGTTGACTCGATTTGTTTCTATGTCTGCGATGCGGAGAGAAAAAAATAAATAAAACCAACGTATATTTTATAAGGGATGAATATCAACGGATTATTATAGGCAGTATTCACTCAAAGAACCCAATTGTTGCTCCGCCCTTTAAACTCAAAATAGGCCTTGTAACGTAATAGTGCGCAAAGCAAAACCATTTATTTTAGCAAGGCGCTCAAAAATATTTTATATTTCTGGTCAGTATTTTTTCAGGTTTTTATTATCTGCAGTTGGAAACTGAGCATTTTCCCATCCCATTCACCCTGAGATAATACATGTGCATTCTGAAACTGCCTGAGTATATTCTCTGTTTCACCGTTATAGTCTGACCGAGGCAAACAGCTAGTACAGATAGAAACACCGACGCAGACAGAAAGCGCAAGGTGGTGGCGCATGCGCTGTGCTTGGTTGGACTAGTCGATGATAGCACAAGTACAGAAATACAACCCTGTTTAATTCGCCACGTTGGCCTGTTGTATAGGCTGCGATAAGGTTTATATTAAACGAGGTGTGCACAGCGAGCAAGTGTTCTAGAATACATCTCTGGCGTATCGGAACTTTATCAGGGAAATTTCGACCAAAGGGCAACATGGAGAACGCGCTATCAGGTGGACACACCACGTGCACACAATTCTGCGAGTAAACAAATGCACGAGGTGCGCGAGGAGCGGACGAACCTGACGTCGCATAGAGTCGACGAGGCACTTCCACTATTAAACGTGAGTTTCGTTTTAATTCGCACAGGCAGTCAGAAGCAAGAAGAAAATAGCGTGTCCCATGATCGTGGAACCTCAGTGGCAAAATATGGCACCTTCGCTTTAACATTTCGGTGTTTACTATTAGACATCTTGGCAAAATACTATTCCTTCGTTTTAGCATTTAGGCAATCAATTCAGCGAACGACGACTGAACAACACATCGTTTTGTCAATGCTGTACTGTTTTATATACAAATCGGTTTATCAAAATGAGTTCACGTTTATTCCATTTACTTATCTTGCAATACTACGTCGAAAGCTGCGATTTTGCGACGTGTAAGCGGAAATGCAAGTCCGCTTTTTCCTTTTTGGTTACTTCCGATAACGATACGTAAATTAGGTTAGGTGCATAGGCAGCAAGGCTGAGGTAAGCCAAACTTTGCCGAAGCTTGGAAACTGAAGGGGCCGAACCTGGGACTAATAGGGTTTTTCTCCAACGCGCTGGTTAGGGCCGAGGTACCTTATTTTTAACCAACTATCCAAAGAAATGCAGAATTGTTTTTCTGCTTAAACGTACGAGTGTTAAAATGTTATACTTTAGTTAAAGGTGTCAGGTGCACCCAACAGTAAAACATACTTGTAGCGTTTGCTTGAGAATGAATGCCCGAACGGGTTAGGTAACAAATCAACCGGTCACTGGAGCCTACTATGCCACTTTTTTGGTTATTGAAAACCAATATATCCAGATTCCGGAAAATAATAGCACGTTGGGTTATGGGGAGTTTGCGACATATAAGGGGGTCGTACCGATACGCATTGGCAGCTTCCAGCATTGCCCTGTTTGTTTTCTCACGTGGCTTGCCACGCAGGACCGGGTCGATGCTCGAATTCAATCGTCTCCACTCAGTGAAAGCGGAAGCGACGTTAACGTTATATTTTTTTTTGTGTATCTGTGACTAGGCGAAGTGGTTCTCTGTTCAACAATGTTCCAGTAACGACCAGAAGAGGACATTCATTGTTGTAAATATTAAATTATATCTGAACATGGTCTTTTTTTGCTCGCGAAGTATTTTTCGATCTTCATTTTGTCAAATTACTCTTCTACCGCTAACGAATTGAGCAGGCCTAGTGAGAAGCATATAATCGAGGCTGCTTTTGCCAGCGCATGGAGGGGCTAGGTATTTCCAATTCCGGTTCCTGGTGTAAAATACGTTATCCCCTTTTGTGGGCCCCAATGTTTTGCTGAGCACGATACTCACGGAAGCTAGCATTATTTAGGAAATAATTACTGGCTCTATTTCTGCTCTCGTCGGCTTCTACACACGATGTGGACGCAAAAGGGTTCATCTAAAAGTCGCACCGCGGCGTGACAACTTGGTCGCAGGCTTTCCTTACCGTTCCTAGGGTCTTTCATAACTCCAACTTCCAAGCAAAGGATAAAGTGGCCCAAGAAGCTGTGCTACATGAGTTAGGTAGATCAAATAAACCTGAAGTTTTTTCAGGATATTCTGGCTCGTGCTCAACACAAAGAATCTCATAATGATTCGAAGAATTATTAAATGTTTTAAACACTTTAAACTTATGGGAGGGATAACTACCTAGCTACAATCATGAGGGCGAAGTATGATTGTAGACCAAAGAAGGCGGTGCTTTAAACACCCCTCTATATCCGTACGGCCCATATTGTCAATATCGCTCCAGTGTGAAGCAGAGCCATTGAAGCATCACCTGTGTTTCGTTTTCCGCTTACCTCGACGTCTGTTTCGCAGACACACTCGCACACTGACGGCTTGCCCGTAAGAAAACACAGAAGCCCGAGCGCCTCGGGAGCGACCAGAAAGTCCTGAAACGCCCCTTCCGTAAAGAAGTAATGCGTCGAGTCCGAATTGGCCAGGTGTCCCGTGTTGGTCCAGGGCTCATCGTTCACTCCGCTCACCTACAAGCGAGGCCAATTTGAGTCTTTGATGCTCTCGAGAGTCACACTTCATTTCGCTTTCCACATTTAACTTTCATTTCTTTCCAATTTGTTCAGCACACCGCCATTGTTTACGAGGAAAGTACTGTCATGGTCAAAGTAAATATTAATTATCCAATGCCGGTCCTCCTGCACTTCAATTACATTCAGTTGACACAGAAAAATTCTCATGAGTGCAAAACTTCATGACACACGTAAGTCCCCTTGAGCGCATAAATAAATGTGGCTATTTCCCCGTGGAAGCACCAGTGAAAAATGAATAAACGTTTCAAATTGCTTTTCCTATTTATATCACCTGACTGTGCTCTCCACGTATATGTTAAGCAAGGAACGCGGTACGTGAGTGGAGACACCTGATTTACTTATTCATTCATCCTAAAATTTCCGCCGCACTCTAGGGTTCGGTGGAAATAAAATATGCATTCACCGAGTCTGTAAAATGAAGATAGGCCATTATGTTGTCCATGAATCAAAGAAAAGCAGTAAATAAATTAAACAGATTTAAAGTAAACAAGTTATATCAACATAGTGCATATTCAATGCGAATTTATGAGGTTATTGCGTAACCAGTTATCTATTTTCTCAGTAATGCACATCGAAGTCTAGTCTTGCGGACCGATCCATTCATCAAGACCAGTTCTCAATAGACATATACTTTTCGACACACTTAAGCTAGAAGCAGATAACACAAAAAAAGTCGGGTGGTTTGTAACTGGTAGGAACAAAGCTAGGTAACCAATAAAATGAGCTGGTGAAAAAGAAAAAAAACACTTGAATATAATGATTTCTTCTTTTTTTTTTTTATGAAGACGCAACGCCAAAGGAAGACGTGTTAGTAGAGTCTAGGCGTATAACTCGAACTTTAGAAGGGTACAAAGACGAAAATTGAAATACAAAAAAATTTCGTTCTGAAATGAGTCAAGCATGACGGGTAATAACCGTAAATGATAATCGCACGTTTGTATTTTGAACGACTGGCTATATTTTGCGTTCCGAACGGTGCACTCGAGCAAGCGCTCGAAGAGAAGCGAACAGAGAGCGCGATATATCATAAAATACCCGACGCAAAAAAAAAAAAGAAAAATCGTTGAATTTGTGAGGTAGCAAGGCTGGCGTGGTTAAGAGTTTAGCCGTTGGTGGTGTTGTCAACGTTGTGATAGTGTCAACAGCGTCAACGCGTTACAACTGAGCCGTTCGAAGTACCCACGGGGTGACGAACGTTTCACATGTGAGATCACTGGTGTGCGTCGTGTTCGTGTGGCCCACTGCAATGGCGCTTAAGTACGATTTACTCGGGAACATAAACTTAAACGAGACAGGTGAGGATGAGGACTCCGACACCGCCCTCTCTGCATTTATTGCGGAAAGCGAGCAGCAGGCGTCGGAGCCCACGTCGGAAACGACGGACGTGCGAGCCGGTTCTACACGGCACGAAGTTTTTAGTTTTTTGGAAACTTGTTGATCGGGATATCGCTGTTCACCAAGTCTTTACCACAGTTCTCAGCAACTCAAAAGCGCGGCGGTATCTCGACGTTAAAAAGCGCAGAACGGCTTCAAACTGTACAGGAAAGTCACTGGAGTAACTCCGCGACATTCCATTACGAGTCCATCATGGCATCTCGTTGACTTCTGTTGCAAAGGAGCGAAGCGCACCGTCACCGTTTGCAAGGGCAAAGGCTTCGCGATCGCGTTCAGGCCGAGGTAACCTAAAACAGTTGAACGTACTTCCAAAGAGCGGCGCTGCTGAGATATTTAGTGCGGCAACGTATCGATTCCTGCTACGTCGTGAGTACGAAGCAAGATTCTTAACGTTGCTTGATTACCTTCTAACTAAGGTTCACAGGCATGCACAAGGTGCACATTGAAATATCTTTTAATTAGCTTTAAGTTTAGTTTTATAGCACCTTACAAACGAAAGACTGGTGTTTTTGAAGTTAGGGTGCAACATGCAACACATTTAAGCTAGAGAATGAGCGCTGGAGTTTCGTTTCCGTACCCTTTCAAGAAGAAAAGCGCATTTGAAAAAAACAAAAGTAAAAAAATAGCGGGTAACAATGCACCGCCGCACAACCAAAACGGTAAACGTTACGCACTGTTTTACCCAACATATTGATATTACTCTGCATTAAAAGTGCCACAAAAGCTCTTACCTTCACAATTCCAGAGCAGATGATGAACACGCAGTCGTGCATTCGATTTTCTTGGACAAGGCGCTCTTTCTCTTTAAGGTACTGGTAGAAGCACTGAAAAAAAATGTATATTAGAAAGTTTTTGCGAAGAATTTAGGTATCAAATATATTTTATGTCACTTTTAATTAAAGAGAATCTCGTTTTCCCGACGCACCTGATTTTTTTCATATGCTAAGGACAAGGTAGAAGCGTGGTGAGCTGGGCTAGTTGGTAAGCATTAAACAGTGATGTCTGGTTAATATGGACACCTCCGTTCCCATAAAAAAATCGTCCATAATGTGAGTTGTCCATAATAACGCTGTCGATGTAGCGGGGTATCAATATTGACGGGACATGAGTGTACATGGTTGAAGTCAGAGAGCAACGTAAGGAAAGAGTAGAAGAACACATAAGATAGAATAAACGCAGCGTCTATCCAGTTTCCTGTATTCTTCAAGTTTCCTCACTTGGCTCTCTTACTTTAACCATGTATAATACAAGGTAGATTTACATTGACGATTAAAAACAAAAATATATGATCAGGGATTGTGTTGGTACATATGAAAAATCGTCCGTCATTCAATGCCCACATGTATGTAGTCCCTTACTGTAACTAAATTCTTTGTAATAGGCTAATTTTGTCATTAATTTTGCAAGGGATTATTAAACAATAGAAAGTATTTTTAAAGTAATATGCTTTATTACTTAGGTGAGGTAATGATTGTAATCAGTTACGTTTTCGTTTTTATTTATGGACGAAAAAAGCGGGACTTCCGACAACAGACAAAAAAAAATTGTTTCAAGTTTTTTTTTTCTTTTTAACGTGAGTTTTATTGGTATTAGAATGGAAAGCTGGGCTAGTTGATATGAATTCATATTGAAAAACATCGCGAATAACACACGGACAAGGAGGAGAGAACACACAGTACGAGGGGCTGAAGAAAGAAGGTGAGGAGAACGTAGAATAGAGCCCTTTGTTGTAGAAATGAAGCTTACTAGAATGGAAAGTTGGGCTAGTTGGTATGAATCCATATTGAAAAACAAGCTGTTAGCTGCACTTAGAAAACCCAGGGCCTTCTAGTCTTCAGATGTTCAAAGCCTTTCTTTACGTCATCTCAGACCTCAATTATTATCTTTCTTTGTGGCTTCGTTGTTTGCAAACTGCAGCTCGCTCGCCCACAACAAAGTGGCAATAATACTGATATAAATAACTGAACTTTCCGTGCAAACATTATTGGGCAAACTCCCAAAATCGCAATGTTCACATGAACAAAAAAGAACTTCGTTGTGCACTCGAATTGTTAAGGGGACCCTGCCCGCCTGTTCTTTTTGTCTCTTCACTCTTTCTTTGCTTTCAAATACGCGGAGAGGAGGACGCCAAATAATTGCACGCCTTCCAGAAGCTATAGACAATTAACAATTTTCTCTTCGGTTCTAGTGACTACGACAGTTACGGTAAGATCACAATATGACCGGACGTCTTTTGCTGGAATAACGTTCAGCACGAAAATTAATTGTAAACAACGTGACATTAAATAGAACACTGCTAAAAAAATATCAACACTTTTTAGCATTTGGAAATACAAATTCTTACTGAATTTGATTGTGTGCTGATTTTTCCATATTCTACAAAAATATCCAGGTTTCCCATATCCTTGTAACCCTTTTCGTGTATCATCTTTTGTGACAAAGATAAAAATCGTATTTTTGTTGCGGTTTTTATAGAATAACATTACACGCCTTCGTTAGAATGCTTGTTTTGACGAGTAACGCAATACGTGGTTTTTTAGTCTTCTTAGAAAAAATAAAAGAAAACAAATGACGTAATCTTCTTTTTTTAGTTTTAATGTTAAACAGTAGATTCCCCGGCTTGACTGTCATTGCCTGCCGCAGTGGAGAGATACTGCACTGCCGCTGCCTCACCTGACATGAGCCGAAACAACAATGAGCTGCTACATGGCCCACCCGCGCTACATAAGTTTGGATTGTGTATAGACATTCTATTTCTTGTTTGCCTCAGGACGTAAAGAAACGTCGCGAAAGTAAGGTTATTTCTGGAATTAACCAAGAGTAATTATAACAGTAGCTAGTTACAGTTAAGCTTGTTTATTTCAAATGTAATTCCTCAAATTTTTAGTAACGTTTAAAAGTTTGTGTTAATGATGAGTAGGGTTTGATTCGCCTTTTATGTGGAATGTGTTTTTACGAATATGCTTAACACCTGTCGGGCTGGCAGGTTACAATCTTTGGAAACGAACTCTTTTAAAGAATCGGCAAATTAGTTCATGAGCTGCCGCCGGCGTACGCTGGTTCGCCATTCCTTTGCGTGAGTTTGTTCTTATGGCCTTTAACATGCCAGTCGACAGACCTATAAGTGACACTTCAACGTATATTTATTTTTGATATTGTGTACAAGTAATGATTATGTGCCTATGCAGTGTCGCCCGCGTGTGTCTCGTAAAAAAAGATCCTGCATGAAGCGAAGCGTTCTTCGAATCCCTCTTTCACATGGCGAAATCTTTCCTCGAAAGTAGGAGTCAAATCACCGAGAAACCTCGCTTTTATGAATCGCCTTGCAAAACGCTAATTTTGCCGATAACGCCTTGGAGGCATCACAAGTCTACTTGTCATATAAAATTACAGCACGCAAAGCTGCATTTTGTGAAAATAATTCACTCGGTCACAATAAGTGTTTAGACCAAAACGCTTTGCGTTGTTGCACGACAGTTGGTCTGCAAATCGACCTCCGAACTTTTCCATCTGCAGCACCTTCATCCTCATGTCGTAAGGTCACCCTGGATACCGGACATCGAACTATAAAGAGATTTGTCCAAATATTATGTTTTCGCAACAACCTCGGCGGTTTCAACGGAAAATGCCTTCCTATTTCGTCCCGTTTGAGATATCGTGATTCAGTGCTGCCTTTCAGGTGTGAGTCTGAGTTAAACATCTCTCACGTATGTCAGGTGCGTTTTACTTTGTAGAATTACAAAATAAAAACTCAAGTTTGAATCAATTTTAATTTAATAAGATTCACACGTCCTGCCTCGACTCACCCGAAGGAGTTTGGAGACGTCCTCGGAGGGTAGCCAGGGGACGCTGAGCATTGTGTAGAACGGGGCATTACCGACCACTATGTTGGTCGGCATACCGTCTGCCTTCTGAATCATCCAGGACAGGTTCTACAGAGAAAACTTATGATCGAAAACCTCTTTCGGCTGGTAGTAGCTACAGCCAACCCCGTATAGATGCAGGCAACCTTACCTCAAACAAAATGCCGTACTGCGTGTCATCGATGAGACCACCTTCGTGTAGCTCTCGTAAACCGTCCACTGCTTTGTTTAGTATCCTCCGTGCTGCCTGTCTTGTCTTCGTGGCGACCTCTATGTTCGGGTATCGCTGCTGTATGTCCACAACGTTTCTCAACGTCTATAGATTAATCGAAAGAATAAGACGTAAGCTTGGGGTATAAGACGTCAGCGGAACAAGTGGAATTCGCACGTTTTCATAAACATTAAAAATTGCATGCGCACTTTATCCACCGAATCCTTAGAGGCTCGGAATGTTAAATTTAGGGAGTGATTGCTTCAACTTGCTTACATGACTAACACGTAATAGAACAGTGCTTATTACTTTCCTTACTAAATTTAATGGAGAAATTGACATCACGTATAAAATAATAAGCGTGAGTCGAATCAAGAGAGGGAAAATAGTATATATATACGATATTTTCATTAGTTGGCATTCACTGTGGCAGGAGCCGCCATTCCTTCTCTCTCGTTCTCCTTTTTTCTCGACATCAGGAGACCTCACATGACGCAAGATTTCGCCACGAGGTTTAGTGAGAAAATGTGCACAAGACCTCACGTGAGGTGACATCATGCCACGTTATCTTAATTTTCCCTAAAAACGTAGCGTAAAAGAATGTTTAATGCCATCATGTAATGTAAATTTCCACGCTATATTTAGCGGGGAAATTTTGCTTCATGTCAGGTCCCACGGGCTGACATTATGGTGTCAAGTCGTAGTGTTCCGCGATTCCATGATGTCGCGTCATCTCACGTGACATAAATTTTTCCGCTACGTTTAGCGAGCAGATGCACAGGCGGACGGACAAATAAAATGCTGGGATGATTGAGTTTCATTATAAACGCATTCCACGCTTTAAAAAGGAGTGGTGAAACCCGCCATTTTGGAAATAACTCGCACCGCCTGATGGAAATCGGTTTTGAGAGTTCTAAGGATGAAGCCATGCGCGATTAGAAAGGAAAGGAAAGAAACGTCATGCAACTAACATGGTGACGAAAAAAATAGCCACAACAAGCAAAAAGAGGAGGGGGGAACCCAGTCTAAGTAAGCGCAGCTAAGTGCAGCGAAATACAGCCAGCAGGATCTAGCTGCATTGGTCGACGGAGGTGCCGGCGGTCCCTTCAGCACGTGCTGAGTGCTGACGTATATTCATACCAGAACCTCTTGCACATGCGACTTTCTAATATAGAACATAGAACCTAGAAGATTGCTTTATTGATAGAACAATCATTTTTCAAAACACAATAGCGAGCCAGAATAAGCCTCAAGGGCTTGTGTACCTGGCTCGGCAGGTGACGAAAACATATAGATTAGATAAAGAAGAATATTAATTGAAAAGCAATTTACAATCTATAGCACACTCGTTCTCTGAAACCTCAGTGCGCCTTAACACAAACCAAAAAAATACTCACACCAAACAAAAACCTTGGACACACTGCAACCGCAATGTTAAAAGAAAAAAAAAAGAACGACACCTAAAAACAATATAGTTCACTGATTAAAAGTGCCGAGATTTAGACTCGACTTGATCCTTACTTGTGTTTTTATCGCTTTTTGACTACGATGCTATACAGTTTCAAATAATGTCCGCCAAAAAAAGTGCTAATATTAGGTCAATTCACCTGGCCCGAACTAAATATTGTCACGAATGACAATTGATTGGGCAACAAATGACTGACGAAAGCGAAACGGTTGATGGGGCGAACTTGTGCACAAAATAAACTGGAAAAAAAAGGCTACCGTCGCAGGCATCGATTCTGGCTTAACAGCTGCCATCGCGCCACGCGTAGCAGCTGACTCTTGCTCGTCACGCTGAGCCCCTTATGTACAGGCGTGGGCCTCTGGAATAATCGGCGTAGAAGGATCGGTGCGTAGAAAAAGTTTCACCTCGAAAAGGCCAAATGCGTTCTAGAATTTACCAGAATGTGACATTTACAGAAATAAAAAAAAATTTGAGAAGACACTTAAGACTGCTTGCGTGTAAGAATGCAAAAGCAATCGTCACACACAGCGCATTCCTGCAAGCAGCGTCACGTCTTCCTTTGTCACACTGCACTCCGGCGGTGACATCACGGTCCCCACTGCGCAGGTGGAGCGCCCCCCTCTGCTTCACGGCTTTTGTGACAGTGCATCTGCATTGCTATGCTCTTCTTTGTTTTTGTATTCTTTCGAGTGGCGCGTCAGCATTGACCTTGAGGGGCCCCGGAGGCTTCAGTGACGAAGCATCGGATAGGACGCGTCGTAGCCAAGGGAAACGTATTCTTTGTTCTGCTGCTACAGGCTGCAGGCTACGCTCCACGGGACAGGGAAATTTAGGTGCCGTTTTCCGCGGCTTTAAAAGCTAATAACGCCGGTTTTCTCCATGGGACAGTTAATGCTGTCGCATTAAAAGGGGCGTTCGCTCACAGGAATTGAACCGCGGCCCTTTGCGTGAGAGCCAAGCACGATAACCATTCGGCCACGGACGCACTTGTTCGGAGACGCGCCGGGCATTACCTTCCACTTTCAAAAGAGCATAGTCCGGATGCAACGTGAAAGGAAACAAAACAGAGTAAAAGAAACTCAATATTTGGAGACTACAGAGCCTGGTAAAACACACTCCTACTAAGCGTCGTCCGAGATCACAGTTCACAGTCTTATCGCGCGCGATACGGCTTGAGGTGCACTTCTGGGGCGAATTGAGGTTTCGATGGACGGCATGGTGAGGTTATTGTTCTGTGGTGTACCACCTCGTACTTCAGATCTCCGAGTCGACGAAGTACTTTGTGAGGTACGAAATACCGGTTCAGGAGTTTCTCGCCGAGACCGTGACAGCGAGTCGCTATCCACACCCATATCCTGTCTCCGGGCTGGAAGTGTACGGCGCTGTGACGAAGGTTGTACCGGCGAGCGTAAACACGTTACTGGTCCTGAAGTCTAGGTCTGGCAAGCTGCCGAGCTTCCTCTGCTCGTTGGGTTATTAACTTGGCGTCGTCGGTTCAGTCGTGTGCTGGGTCGTGGGTAGCATTGCGTCGAGCATCAGTGTCTCCTTTCTGCTATGAACTAGCTGAAATAGTGGCATTCCGGAGGTCTCTTGAACTGCACTGTTGTAGTCAAATGCGACATACGGAAAAACTTCACTTTCCCTACTAAATTGAGCCTGTGTGCAACGATACATTCTACCGGATTCATAGACAATCACCACTGCGGTTTCTACATTTAAATTATGGTTATTATGGGCCATGTATTAATCGCATGTTAGATGGCAGTCGCACTGGAAGTCTACATTTTAATTATGGTTATTATAGGCCATGTTTTAATCTATGTTTGATGGCAGCCGCACTCGAAGGTTAGACCAACTTATTCAATTAAAAAAAAAATGCGACTGTTTCAGAAACATTCGTCAACAATTTCTACCCTTTCTATCTTCAAATTCCGAAACTAAGAGCTCAAATTTTGCCGGAAGCGGAGACCACGTGAGACCTTTAAAAGTGACGGTTTTGTGTCGTACAAATCGTCATGATCTCGTATCTGCACTCCGGCTGTCAGGGTGCGGCTCGCGGAATGTAAACTCGCTGCGACACTCTTCAGCGCCTACGCTAGCTGGCGAAGCGCTTGCCCAGCCGACAAGCAATAGCGAGTGAGGCTACGAGGGCAAAGACAAATAAAAAGCGAGTGTTAGGGACTGTCCCAGCGAGCTTATAAATAATTTTCACTCGATAATCCCGAGCTTCTCACCGCTCACCTGCAGTTTATTGTTCCCGCTGTTTGCCCGTATCATCAAGGCGAGGTGCGGCGTCTGCACGAAGCGGGACACCTTGACCATGGCTTCGTCCTCGGCGGTGATATACGCCCAGCTGAGGTCGTAGGCGTAGAATAGCTTGCGGTTGAGGATGCCATCCAGTAAATCCCAAATCCACACAAAGAGAACCTAAAGAAAAGAACATTAACATATCACACCATTATATAGGGTGACCCAAGTCACCGGGCTCGATCTAAAATGGACCGTAAAAATCGACGCCTGCACGTAGCGATCTAACATTTTTGTCAAAGGTGTATTTCGCAGGTCGGTTTTTTCTTGTAAAATTACAAAGCGTAGCTCTCTTTCTGATAGACGGACGAAAATAGACGGTAAGCTGGCTTCCTTTAATGGAGTATTCTTAGAAAGGCTAGGTGACTCAAGCTACATGTTCCTTTATGTCGAAGAATACGAATATCGAAGAAGAACATGTTTTTTTACAACAGCACATACCGATCTTTTTTGAAGCGTCTTGATGATCCTGCACGAAATGAGGGTTATGAAGCTAAACTGTAGGAACATGACGTAGAGTCGATTGGCGTTTGCCGACTGCACTGAAACCAGGCTTGTGAGTACAAACTCAGTGACGACCAGGAAATACATAATGATGTCCAGTTGCCGCCACACGTCGCGACTCATTTGGAACATGCCGACCGTGTAGACCTGTAAAGGGAAACAAGTGACCAATCATGTTGACTGACAATCAACCATTTTTCTTAATTGTCTATCCCCTTGTTCACATCCCATAAGGGACATTTTGTGTCATCGCACTGTGTAATACGTTCGTTGTGGGAAATGCCGTTCTAAACCAATTCACAGCTTTGAATTCCACCAGAACCTTCTGTTCACTGCGTCAATCAATCAAGCAATCAAGTAATTAATTACTCAGTCAATTTATTTTCGTCTGGGGGAAGGCATGAAAAATGCAGAATTTACCGGCTTGGCGATCGTCTGGCGTCTCCTTCACATTCGGAGAAGGGTACAACTTTGTTGCACATTTACGATGATATGCATACAGCAATACCGATGCCATTTAAACTAGAGGCGAAGTACAATGACTGTGCAAGAAGTTTTAACCCGAAAGAACGGGCATATTTACCTAAACTGTACTTAAACGGTTGACTAGTTAGCACGTAGGAAGACGAGGTACAATAAATTTGTAGCTCCATCATAACCCATGAGAAAAATACGAGCCAAGAGCAATCAAAGTATTACTCAAAAAAGTTACCAATGTCTTCTTTACTTGAATTTTGTACAGTAAGACCATTTGCCTCATTATCATTTAAAACTTGGAGCGAGCGTAAATGCCAGCTTCTGGTCACTGTAATAGACCGATCTCATTATCCAGTTTGACTACGCCACCGCTGCCGCAATGCATCGAGGGAGCTTTAGTCTTTCTGCGACAACCTCGCTGGAGCTCTACGCGTGTGGAGCATGATGCGGCACGAGCCGTCTCGTGCACTGCTGCCTGCCTCCTGCGAACTAACGTTATGGCGGCGTCACGCATGCGCCGAACCCTTACAAAAATGTGTGTTGACGTCCTATGTCCATTGTTTTGCCGTTCTATTTCCCCTTTGTACATCCTATGGATTCCTGTAGACAGTTCTTGGACTCTGTATGGATCGCTGGTTTGCCATAGAACGGCCTCAAAAACGCTACAGGGATCTCCGCGAAACAAAAAGTTTTCTTTTTCCTTTCTATTTCCATGCTATGGTCCTTGTGTGTCTGTGGACATCCTATTGCCTCTCTGTGGTGTGAGCTATAGATCGGTAGATTAATAGAGTGATGCCGGGTATTTTTGTTAGGCGTAGTGAGGTGCCTGAGTTAAAGAGTTGTTAATTAAGCGCACCGCATCAATATGTTACATTGATATCTAGAGACATGTCCAACTTCAGGGCTTAATCGAAGTACAGGTGAAAGCGTAAAATATGTACCGAAACAATTCTTACCATTTCTAGAATGTTGCCTTGGATAGTAAACAAAATTATTAATCGATGCAGAAGGCTTGTAATTTAAAACGAAATTATTCTCAGAGGAGCAGAACTTAATGAAAACAGTAGATAGAAGATATGAGTTACAACGAAAATTGGCATCACCAAGCAATTAAACAAAAAGAATCGGCGCAAACAATGATTCAGTATAGAAAATAGGAAAGAAAAAACGTAAAGCGAATAATATCCAGTTTAGAAAAAAAAGAAAGACATTTACAATCCTTTGTAACACCGAATTAGAGCACAGCTTTTGAGGAGGAGGAGGGAAAAGGACGGAGAGGAGGCTATGCCCCTCCTCCTCTCCTCTCATTTAGGGGAACTTTTTTTCCGCTAAATTTATCGGGGACTTTTCCCGTTAAATTTGGTGAGGAAATTTTTCCAAAACTTTAGCAGGGAAATTTCTCCCTTTAACGGGGAACTTTTTTTTCCACTAAATTAGGTGGGGAAGATGTTCTCGCCAAATTTAGCGGAAAAGTTTCCCCGCCAAATTTAGCAGGAAAATTTCTCCCATAAAATTTAGCGGGGAACTTTTTTCCGCTAAATTTTGCGGGAAAAATTTCCCCGCCAAATTTAGCGGAAAATTTTCCCTGCCATGTTTAGCGGGAAAGTTTTCCACTAAATTTGGGGGAAGTTATTCCGCTAAATTTAGCGGGGAAATATTTCCGCTAAATTTAGCAGGGAAATTTTTTCGCTGAATTTAACGGGGAAATTTTTCCGCTAAATTTAGCAGGGAAATTTTTCCCGCTAAATTACCAGGGAAATTACTCCCGCCAAACTTAGCAGGGAACTTTTTCCGCCTAAATTTGGTGGGAAAAGTTTCCCTGCCAAATTTAGTGGAAAAATTTTCTCCGACAAATTTAGCAGGGAAATTTTTCTGCCATATTTAGTAGGGAGATTTCTCCCACTAAAGTTACTGGGGAACTTTTTTTCACTAAAAATGGCGGGGAAAAGTTCCCTGCCAAATTCAGCGGAAAATTTTCCTTGCTAAATTTAGCGGGAAATTTTTCCACTAAATTTGGTGGGGAAAGTTTTTCCACTAAATTTAACGGGCAAATATTTCTGCTAAATATAGGAGGAAAATTTTTCTGCTGAATTGTGGGGGGAAATTTCTCCCGCTAAATTTAGCGGGGAACTTTTTTCCACTGAATTCGGCATAAAAAGTTTCGCTGCCAAATTTAGTGGAAAATTTTCTTCGCCAAATTTAGAGGGTACTTTTTTTTCGCTAAAAAAGGCAGGGAAAAGTTCCCCACCAAATTTAGCGGGGAACCTTTTCCGGTAAATTTAGCAGGGAATATTACCCGCTAAATTCGCTCATAATGCCCTGCGCGGTTACGCCACGCCACTCAAGCCAGAAACAAGCGCCTGAAAGCTGCGCTCCAAAAAAAAAAAGAATTGTAAGTTGGACTGTTTCTTGTCTTTCTTCCTTGTCCCTATCTTGTTGCACTTTTTAAATACTAAGAATCATATGTTCACCACACTCAAACATTGCTGGGTTATCATGACAAAATAAATTCCACCAAAACTCGTACCATTAAACTCATGCTCATACATTGACCACGACACCACTCATTTTGGGTAACAAAAGGTGTCTAATTCTGACAATTTTGAATCCTTATAGTCAATGCGGACGACAAGAGAATGTGTAAAAATGTTTATTTTTCAAAAAAGAATGCTGGAGAAAGAACGTCTAGGAAAGTGATGTGTGTGGAGAGAAGGTCCCGAGCAGAGCTGCAGGGCCTTCCCGCTCAGGTAGGCTATCTTATTTTACTGACAAGGGGACAAAACACTTTATTTTACAAGGCTATGAACAAGTGTGAGAATAAAGACATGTGCATTGCCAAACACTCTCCGAAAATAATGAAAACCGGTCGGGCTTTTACAACTGGGAGTACCCAAATTTTAAGTTTTTTTCAAATATCCCTGAATCAGGATTATTTTTACAGGTTCATATTCATCAAATTTTTGCGACATACATTTAAGAACACTAAACCATGTGAATAACTGATCTTAAATGCACAAGCCAGCATCTTGGTTCACCACTTGAAAGGGAACTTTGTAACACTCTTAAAGGGATGCTGAACCAAAATCCCGATTCCACAAAACAAGCGGCAAAAGCGTGCAGCGGGATGCTACTAGCATCAGAACATCACTCATACAGTGATATCTCGAACGGATGACCGTATATTTAAAAAAAAAATGATTCACATTTGACAGAAATATTTACGTCATGTTTCTCCAAAAAGGAGAGAGAACAGCCTTGCGTCTTTTCCGCGTCGCCGCCTTGAGGGAGCGAAGCGAAGAGAGGAGGAAACTAGGTATCTTCACATCACACGCCTCATCGACCTGGTTCAATCTCGACCTCTTTTTCCAAAAATACAGCCGTCCATTTGAGATATCGCCTTACGAGTAGTGTTGTAGGGATGTAGCGTCCCGCCTACATTTCCTGCATTAGAGGTGAAAATGGGTAGTACGGGGGGCAGGAGCCCAGTCATGCAGCTTTACACAGCTCTCTGTCTTGTCCCCCTAAAAATCATTACTATTATGATTTAAACAGCCTCAAACATGTATGTCTGATCAACACAACATAAAAACAGACTTCCTTCGACTTTAAGGGCAACTCACTTCTTGGCTGAGAATGCATTTACCTTCACAACACGATTGGTCAATTGCACGCAAGAAAAGTTTCTGGTCATCATAGGGAGATTCATAAGCACCGATTGACATCTCAGCTCCTGAACATAAAATAATACAGAGCTTTCAGATTGATCAGGCATGTGACAGCCCTGCGTTCTAAAAAAAATAGACACAATTCTTCCCAAAACATGGCTTTCATCATTACACACTGCCTCTACGTAAGAGTTCAGCCGACGAGACTTGTCCAGCCGCTCAACACAAAACAGGACTCCGTTCATTCTAACCTTACTGAAGGAGATGCCTTCAGGAGATACCTCAGATTTGCCATAAAAGACACAGCCAGACAGGCATGTAGAGAATTTCTTCAACTTATAGTGTTTGATCAATGTTGTCATTAAATGACCAGCAGACGATTGAGAAAAAAAAGTGCTACGGCTACATAGCTTTGGCAGAGCTGACATGATAAGGTACTTCTCCACAATCTGCCAGTGTGCATACCGAGTACCGTTGACAAGCTTGACAATGGAACCGTTCATGTTTTCAAATGAATAGGCTGAATAGTTCCACAACGGACCCCATTCTTTTACAGAGTCAACAAGATGCAGAAGAAGGTGTGCATTGTATGTGATGTGTTCTTTGCCATACAGTTTTTCATATTCTTTTAGAAAAAGTTTCATTTGTTTCGCAACTCTTCGAAGCTCATCTAAAGGTATGGATTCCTTCAAAAGAAAATGCATTAAATAAACAAACTGTACCCAGTTCTTGTAGTACACAGGTAGAAGAAGTCCCCTAAGAACAACTGGAGAAAAATACAGCAACCAATCGCGCCATTCCGAGGACTTCCAGTACCGCCTGTGCACCAAAGAACGAGGGAGCCTTGACATCTCATGAATTGGTTGGAGGCTCAGCAATCTACTGTCAACGACAGAGATCTTACCTCCCATGCTAAATGGGAACGCTAACTTGCAGTCGAACCGCATGCATGTCGTGTACTTCACAAACCCTGAACACACAGCATGCATGTAGTCGACTACGAAG